TTCGAGGTGCTTTTAATGGCTAAAGAGGAAATAATAAACTTACACTGATTATTACAGCTGAATACTACTTGAGATGCAAACTCAGCAGTCATTTAATAACTTTTAGATTTTACAACGTCAATCAATCAAATTCTCTGAATACGAGCGTGGTGGCACTGCAAGTACCGAGCATATGACATATTCTCAAAATGCTTTTTTTTTGGCTAGTTTTTGGCGAAAAAGATTCTGGCTTACTTTTCCATGCATGTTTTCAGCAGTAATGGCGCCAGTGTGCGACCAATCCACTTCGAGAGAGCCTGATCATATCAGAGCTACAAATATTGCATAGGAAGAATTGAAAAATAATCCAGTTCAACATCAATGCAATGATAGAGAGCTTAAAATTAGTAAATGTGACATGCATGCAAACTTGAAAGAAGATGTGGAAGGTCAAAATCCGAACGATTTTTTTCTATTCTGTCATTCTCCTCAATTATCATACAGGATTCTCAAACGAATATTTATTCATTTATAGGACTCTCTTCTTTAATGGTGTAGATAGATTTTTGCGGACCTTCTGACCTTGGAGCCGAGAAATGAAAAGAATTATATTTAGCCTGTGTTGATCCCAGAATTTCTGCACTTAACAAAGCCATTATTTTCGAGTCAGCACTATATGCACCGCGGTCGGTTAACGACTAAGTGATTAGAAAAACTGGAAATAATTCAGAAAGCTTTTTAATGGAGACGTTCACAACGTGATGAAAATAGCACTAAAATCTGTTGTGTTTATTAAAGCTTTAATTGCAGCGAGATTTCAAAAGCAAACAGCATGAAAATTTTAGTGACATGGAAGACGAGGCGACCTATGGAGTTGTGATATGTGATATCACATATCGGTACAAATTCTTTAGAATTCATTGGCAAAAATTTACTCTATCTTTTTATTAACTACAGCTCATCTTTTTGGCCGAGACATACTCTTCTGCAGGATGACCCTAAAACCAATTTTTCCCCGGGAATGCAATGGAAATCAAAGGTCTATGTTGAAAACTGAATCCTTTGCTAGTATTTGGACGTCTTAATGGTGACGACTGAAAATCTTATACAACCTCGATG